CAATAAACCCCTTCTATTCACACATTATATAGCTTGGAATAACTGGGGCTTTCTCGCCATTTATCTACACATTCTGCCTTTACGTGCATTAATTATAGGATCCTTTCATGAATTCAATAAACACTAAACTGGAATGAGTTGTAAGCCAAATCACAAAATTTAGACAAAAATAAAAGATTTTATCAACATTCTCCAACTCTGTGTGAATATCTTACCTTATATTTAGCAATTTGCTCTTTTACTGGATATAATTTACAAACTTCAGCAGGGTCATTCATTAGTGTGTAAGGTCAGGAAAAGTTAATTCAAACAGAATGTAAATTTGAAATGTTCAAAGCTCAGCTGTTTTGAACTAAAATTTGAATTTGCCAGATGAACTCCCAACATTTTAACAATTTAGTAAAAACTCCGTAACAATAAATTGTGAAAAAACTAAACAAAAAACAGAAAGCAAAATGAAAGCCAAATTATCTGCCTTGAATATTTCCCAATTCAATTTTTTTTTTCTAAATTGTCTGGTTTTGCCTAAGTTTTGCAATTCCATATTTCATTTTAGTGAACGAACTCTAGATTAATGGACATCCAGGCTTGAAATGACTGTTGGCTTTGGAACTGATGAGCATGTGTACATTTTTAGGATTTGTCCCTGTAACCCTATGTTGTGTGTGTTACTCTTTAATCTTCAGCCAATGGGAAAAAAAGCAGAGTTAATAACAAAAACTGTCAGGAAGCCAAGATGGTGGTGCTTAGTCCCAGAATAGAGGTTTGGATTTGTACATTTCATATTTTTTTTCAGACTTCACAAGCATATGTATGTTAAATATGGGTGATAGAAAACCATGATATTAAAAATCCTGCAGATTGACAGCGTCCCTTTAAAAAAATAATAAAAGGGCCAGTGGCCTGTTGCATTATGGGGTCAGTGGTTTACAACCTTTTAATGAGTTGATCCGTATACAGTTATACAGTTCAGGATGAGGGTGACTGCTCAATATCAAATTAATGGAATATCTTAGTAAAGCCCATTCAGACAAATGAGAAATTAGCTCACGGATAAATAGTGACACAGAAAAATTGATAAGATTTGTGAATTCTTTAACATTTTCACAATTTTTCATTGTGTAGGATTTTTTTTTATTTTATTTTTAATTATAGGCCAAAATAAGTTGAATTATAATATAGTTGTCAACATAATAATTTTTTTGGCCTACAATTTGAAGTACACACTGTTTAGAAATTGAATAACCCTATCAGTGATTGTAAGAAAGGCAACTTGTGGTTGTTCTAATCTAAAGTCGCCATCTAGTGGATATACTACCACAGTGCAAGCGTTGAAAATGTTAAATGGCTCTGGATAGTTTGGTTTAAAAGTCCACGATTTGCAAAGGTGTCTCCAGAATCAGCTTATAGTTTCTCTATATACCATTCTACATACAATTTATATATATATATATAAAAAAAACATTGGTGCAAGAAAGTTTCAATAACTATTTAAGTGATGCTACTGATTCTGTTTATTCTTTATTTTTTCTGCTCCGTTTTGGTGCACGGAGGAATAGTAGGGTTGCCAGATGTCCAGATCACCATTTTTCTTGGACACATATAATATGTTCATTTGTATAGGCGGTATATGCAATATCAAATAAAATACAAATACAGAGTCTAAGTGTGTAACCCAAACACTGACCAAGTAACTCTAAACACCTGTGTGGTAACCTCTCTATCCATACAAATCCAAAACAGATGGAGTATCTTGGCTCTTGGGTACAAGGTATGAGGTAATTTGCAAAAGTACAATGGGATAGCTGTAGAGACAAAAAATATTGACAAGCACCTAGTGCAACATCATACGGTACATAGGTAACTCAGTGTTAATTGTGTGATTCAGTACTCACAAGGACAGAGCCAGATGGATATGGCTCAGTTTAAACACCTGTGGGATAGTTTGAAGGGATCCCAATCCCTATAGGTTTAGTGGCTGATTTTGCGTCCTTTTTAGTCTCAAAAGGAAAAGGATCCACACCAAAAAATGTGGAAAAACAATACTTCTTTTAATAAAAGGTATTAGAAGATAAAATACAAATAAAAATAAAGAATAAATAACAAGCTCCTTGTATATCAAACCACTCGAGGTGGCTAAGTAAAAAAAGTCCACTTTGGGGTAGCAAGACGCGTTTCACCTGTATTATAGGCTTCCTCAGTTGCTAATGTCATTACCTGTCCGTTGATGGTCTTTTATATCTCCCTGTAGATTCTTCACTTAATTCACCTGAAAGCTTTGCGGTCGATATCCGTCTCTCTTGCATGACGCCCTCATTCGCGGCTTCATGTTGATGACGTATTTCCGGTTCGCGGCTTCATGTCGCTGATACATTTCCTATTTTGGTCGTAGTTGGAACGCATATGCGTTCCAATTGTAGAAAAAGCTTTATTGTCCATGTGCTGTATGGGTATTACATACCTGTCCTCATTGTATACCGGAGGACATATATAAAAAATAGATAAAAACAAGGAATAATGATAACAAAATAATGAGAACATTAATGTACTAATATCTATATTCCATTTCTAAGACAAGTGCTTTACGAAAATGAAAGTGAATAAAAAAACTCTGAGAGTGATTAATGCCCAAAATCATATAAAACACCATAATATGAGAACAGAATTATAAATAATATTCACATAATAAGAAAGGGACTTGAATGTATTGATGGAATCTACTCTCAAGTGTCTAATTGTTGTGGGGTTCCGTACATATTATATGGAAACATAATATTATTTGTATTGATTTAAAAGGACAGGACATAATTTGTCAAAGAGAAGGGGCAGAACATAAGGGATATAAAATATTAAAATATTGAAATAAAATCTTATAATATTATTCAAAGAAACTTAAATGTATAAATAGGGTCTCCAATATATAGTCACTACAGAGCTAAATGCAGAAAAAATCTAATAGTGTTATTGGACAAACATATGTGTGTAGATAAAATAAACACACCAGTGTACAGTCACCACAGGACTAAAGGTAGATCTAGAATCTATCTGTATAGTCCAGGATACTAAAATAGTGGCATATAATGATTCAAAATATTAGAGCATCATATATTAAAAAGAACGAAAAATAGAGAATTTAAAAATAAATATAAGGTAATTCGTAAGGTGTCTTTTTTTACTTGTATTTTCTCTACATGGCAAACAGTCTCCACAGCCATAGAAGCCTATAAGGTTGTTAATAAAATGGTCTGGTTTTGCAATTTCTAGGTTGCTCTTAACTAGAATATTTTTTAAGTTATTAGTTCCTCTATGTATAATTTTTGGTTTAGGTGGCAGAATATTTTTTTAAAATGGGATCATCTCTTAGGATGTGCCAATGTTTATGTATGGCTTGTTGTATTTTTTTTAGTATTACCATTATATTTACATATAAAAGGGATTTCCTTATGTCTCTGAGAGATATTCTTAGACTTATATTTTAGTTGGTTCCTTTCTAGAAGTTTAACTTCTTCCATATTTAACTTCAAATCTCTTTCCTCATAGCCTTTTTCTAAAAATTGGTTCATCAAATAATTTCCTTGTTGTGTGTATTCTTCTTCATCTGTGCAGTTCCTTCTTATTCTCATAAATTGTCCTTTTGGGGCATTGGTAAGCCAGGGAGTGTGGTGGCAGCTGGTTCTATTAATATAGCTGTTGGTGTCCACAGGCTTAAAGTATTTTTTGGTAAGAATGGTTGATTCTTTAATATAGATATTCAAATCTAGAAAATTGATTTCCGTATTACTGGTATTGCAAGTCAATGTAATGCCCCAATCATTGCTGTTGAGAAACTGGAGAAAATCCACCAGTTCATGGTTACTGCTTGTACAGATAAAGAATATATCATCTATATATCTGCGTTAGGACACTAAGTTTGCCGTCCAGCCATGGCCACTGAAAATAAACTGTTCTTCCCAGTATGCCATGAAAAGGTTAGCATAGTTGGGGGCAAACTTGGTGCCCATTGCCGTACCGCAGATCTGTAGGAAAAAATGATCCTGGAACCAAAAAAAATTATTGGTTAAAATGAGTAAAATCCCTTCTAAAATAAAATTGATTTGTTCCTTCTTAAAAGGTGATTTTTCTAAAAAATATTTAGCTGCTTCAAGACCTTTATTATGAGGGATAATGCTATATAGTGAACTAACGTCACATGTAACCAAAATATAGCCCTCCTGCCATTTAGTTTGTTCTAGTATTTGCAGCATGTGGATAGTATCCTTCAAGTAGTGTGGGTTTTTGACTACCAAAGGTTGAACCATAACATCTATCTACTCTGATATTATAGGTCTGCCTGGTGGATTGTATCGGTCTTTATGTACCTTAGACAGGTGGTAGAAAACTGGTATCCTAGGATTGGTGATAGATAAGTACTTGGCTTCTTTTTCATTTATAATTTCTAGTTCTTTTCCTTTTATATATATATTTATCAAACTTCTTTTGCGTCTCTCCCATAGGATTAGATGGTAATCGTTGGTATGTTAAGGATCTAAAATAATTTTTTCTGCTTCTTTTATATATTTATCTTTGTTAAGGATAACAATCCCTCCCCCCTTATCTGCTGGTTTGATTATAGTATTTTTTATCTTTTTTCATCTCTTTTAGTGTTTTTTGTTCCCTACGGGATAAGTTATGTTGATAACTATTGATTTTTTTAATTTTGTCTACCTCCTTCATAACTACGATCTCAAAAGCCTTCATTTGATCAGAGATCATATGTTTGGGTAAGAAGGTGGACCTTTCTTTGAGTTCTGAGTGTATGTAATTTTCATTTTGTGTGGATATGAGGGGTTCATTTTTTCCATAAAATAATTTCTTAAGAGATAGCTTTCTAATAAAATGATTGACGTCAATAAAAAAATCAAATTTGTTAAAATCTGATGTGGGTGCAAACTTAAAACCCTTCTTAAAAATTCCATTCTGTTCTATAGAAAGGGTTTGCTCTGTTAAATTAAAGATTCCTTCTACATTCGTCTCTTGTTCCGTTTCTCTCTGTATGTTTGTTCTTCTCCTCCTTCTTCTTCTTCCTCAATGGATCTCTGTCTCTTTCCGGGGGATTCTTGGTGAAGTATTTTCTGGGACCATTGCAACCTGTTGATGGTTGGATCCTTCTGAAAAAACGAGGAAGATGAGGTGTCTGTTGGAGGTGAACCAGATCTTTGTTGTGTATGGTGATTTTTTTAGTATAGTTGTTGGTTCCGAATCCCTCCTTCTTCTATCTTCAGTTGTTTTAGTCCTGTTGTTGATTGTACGTTCTTTTATTATTCCATCCTTGACTACTGAACTGTAGCTTCTTTTGTCATTCTTGTGTACATAATTCTTTGGTATATAAGTATTTCATTCCCAACGAGTATTCCTATATTTCTGTATTTCTATATTTCTTGTCAATATTTTTTGTCTCTGCAGCTATCCCATTGTATTTTTGCAAATTACCTCATACCTTGTACCCAAGAGCCAAGATACTCCATCTATTGTGTAGGTATATGAAATATAACATGAAATATACTGCCATTAAAGGGTTACTTTTTTTTTGGGGGGGGGGGTGCTTTTACCATCTTAAATGCCATTTTGGGCATTATTAATTAGGTTCCTCTCTCTGACATTTTGCCGTAAAACCTGCACTTACCCGGAATCCAGCGCCGGGTGAAGCTCCCGATGCTGCAATCCATGCCTCTTCATAGTCTGTGATTGGATCGTTATCCCCGGCTCAGAGGGCACGTGTGAAATCTGACACGGCTTGGGGTCAGAAAGTGGGAGCAATACTTAGCAATATTCAGGGGCCAGGGAAGTGGAGAAGCCTTTACGCAGGGAGAGAGGAAAAGAGAAAAATGTTCACCCTTGCAGTACTGTGCCTGTAGTGGAGAAACTCAATATGTCCATTACCAACGTGCTGTTCGCACTGACAACACATGTATTTTTCGCACAGAATTGACATTAGGCTGTCCGGAACAGAATTCTGGGCTGCCAAACTCATGTGTGCCGTGGGTGTATCTAGCTGCCGGAACAAAAGAGTAGATTTCTCTGCACATGCAGCATTTTGCAGATTCCTACCACCATGACTACTTCAAATCACTGGAGTGGTTGTGCAGTTGCAAGTAACCATTTAATATGTAGCATTTATTTTCTGCAGAAAGGAAATCAAATAATGAAGTTTAGTTTGGATTTTCTGCGACCTATGAATTCTACATACTATGGGGATGAACTTTTCATATGCTGCCTGTCATTCTATAAAAGCAGCGTGTTTCTAGGAAAACATGGGGGGTCCGGCAATCCTATGATACGACAGAGTTATTTCCTAAAGTGTGACGTGTCAGGAATTCAAAGGGAATTAACAGCGAATTTCACACTTTAGCCCAATATAGTCAAACTGAGATCATATCTTTAAGAAGTGCCTTAAACCCATCTCTTTAGGAAAGCTTATGGCCTCCCAAACTAACCTCTACCTCTTGCTCTCTCTTAAAGGGTAACACTCTACTCTCTCCAGCTCTGCTTCACTCCCACCTTATTTGATTGCAATTTCCTGTCCTAATGTGTTTTATACCCCACTTCCTATAGACTGTAAGCTCGTTTGAGCAGGGTCCTCTTCAACCTATCGTTTCTGTAAGTTTTCTTGTAATTGTCCTATTTATAGTTAAGTCCCCCTCTCATAATAAAGCTACGGAATCTGTTGGCGCTATATAAATGGCGATAATATTAACAATATTAATAATATCTGACGAGGAGCATTCTTCCAGTTTGTTTTTTGGTCAATAATTTAAAATTCATTTCTAATTCACCTTAAAATGACAACAATTAACATTTTAGTGAAAGTTGGTGCCAAACGAGCGCTAACTAATGGGTATACACTGAAAAAAACAGCTGTAGGTCTGTAATGGGCAGAATCTTCCAGTCTCTCCTGGGTATTATATTTGAAATTTCTTCCATCTCCCCAGAGGAGCTCTGAGTTCCATTCAGACATGGTTAACAAATCAGTTCACAGCTGAGATTGCACTATTTCAATAGTCTTCATTTCTTTTCAAAAATGTCACTCTTCTAAGAATTCCACCTTGAGTGTATTCGCCCACGCCACCAGGTTCTCCACTTCATCCTCCGGTGGTTCTGTATTTCGCCCAGTTTCACGGTGTGATATCTCCCACTGGGGATCAAGATCTCTGTCCACCTCAGATTCTGATATTGTTAAATGGTCTGCTGGTTCCATACAGAACATATCTGTTGGCAAAAAATAACATTTTATTTTATAGTAAATATCTTTAGAGAACCGGTCACTGGCTATTTTTAGTAATATTTGCAGCTGTCCATGTCTGACAGCCGGAGGCTCGAGTCCTTCCCACTCGAGTATTTACCAACGCAGTTCTATCCAGAGGTGCATTTACTAAGAGGCTGACTAGGCCTCGATCTAGGGCAGCTGTTTGAAAGGTACAGCAGCAGAATGAGAATGCCTGACCCGATCCCTGCCGTGAAGAATCTTCAGAAACAGAGCTGCACAGAGTGTACTCCATGACGCACAAATCTGTACAGCACTGTGCGGCTCCCATTGTAATTATCTGTGGGTCCAGACTCACTGATCGGCGCCATATTAAGTCTAGCTGCATTTACACATGGATGAAGCCTCCCAGTTGGCAGAGGCATGCAAGTAGGGGGAATGGCCAACAACTATTTATAAGGAAGAAAAGGGAGAGAATGAGCTTCTACTGGCTGTGGAGTGTAATGCAGAGCGTAGAATCTGGTACTAACTAAAGGAAGATATTGGAGATAGAATGGGATACTACTGGATATAGGGAGGAATGGAAAGATCAGAATGTGCTACTGGCTAAAGGAAGATATTGGAGATAGAATGGGATACTACTGGATATAGGGAGGAATGGAGAGATCAGCAAATCCCACATTCATCAGTGGTTCCAGTGCAGCATGATGTTTATAGTTCTCACACCATTACGAAGTAACTGTGATCCAGAACAGCTTTGGTAGATGCCCAGGCAGGACTACATTCAGATACACAAAAATAAGTCCTGCTCTCAGACTCCCGCTACTCCTGGGCAGCAGCAATGACAATAGAACACATCAGCCCCAATACATACAAGTAAAAATGGGATCCCATGTGTTCCCTATTAAGGGTTAATAAGTATGTAGGGTTAAAAAAAAAAAAAAAGAAATACCCCTCTCTGTCTCATTAGAGATATCTTTGCCTGGAGCTGAAGGAAGCAAGGTGAATTGTTAATGTAGGACCCAACTAAGAGGTTTGCCTTGATGTGCCAGGTGGGCATCCCTCTCAAGGCCATTGGAGTTGAACTAAAAACCTCCATTTATTTAAATATGCACAGGGATTTGGGATAGTGCGCAAGTAACCGTTTCCTTAGGAATAAATTCAGGCCTCTGGCTGTCATAATTGGGCAGCTGCAACAACTACATCACAGTAGGGAGACATATTTAAAGCGGCCATGTTGTTTTTGTTTTTCCCTTTGATTTTCCTTTTCTTTATGACCCTTTATCTTAATGATTACACTGGCCCCCTTGTTAATTGTCTTTATTTACATTCATTATCTTTTCTCCTTGGGCCAGATCTCAGTATCTGGTTCTGGCGCTTTGGTTTTCCTCTTCTTACAATGTCTGCTATTTGCACTTCTGTTAGATTCTATTTACTGAGAGTCTCACAGTTGGGGCAATAGTTCCCCAGGGCCCACCCCTGGAAATGCCCATGTTAGAAGGAAAGAACAAGAGACAGGCTGAGATAAAGAGATAACGAACGCTAGAGGAATGGATACAATATCTAATTCAGGAGCACAGAGCTCTCTTCATGGACTCTAGAAATTGACACACAAATAGTAAGACTGAAAATGAAACAAATCCAAAATGGAAACAATAAATTGCTTAAAGCCAAGTGACAAATAGTGATCTAGGTGTGTGTAACACATTACCAGCAAAGAAATAAATCACAATAAATGTGATCTGTAAATGCTAAATGTTACATTGAACTGGGAGAGCAATGGATAACTCAGTATATGCCCTATAGGTAATCTTCAACATCATTATCCCAGATTTGCAATTTTTGGTGAAACCTTTCCAAAATGCTTTTCGCAGAGCCCAGAAAGAATTTGGTCAGCCTGGACATAAAGTTATTCTGTAAATCATTCCAATCCATGAAAAGTAAATATGGATATAAAGTAAAGATTCAGAGCAGCCGAGGGGACATTTGTCCTTTTCCCACACGGGAGTCCACATCATCTCTAGTAATAAGTTTGGTTGAACCATACCTGACAATCTGCACATTAGGCATTCTGGGGTACCCTTCCTCACTGATATCTGAGGTGAAGACGTGTTACTATTTAAACTCCCAATGTGGAACGAGGTGTACCTGTCAAAGAAAGACCCAATTTTTTAATAATCCTTTTTACATTAGATGAATATTTCAGGCTTTTATCCCACTTACAGTTTGTTCGTATTCATCTCGACAAAAGCTTGGCTGCCAGGCGTTTCTCTGGAAGGAACTATATATTCTGGAATAAAAACAGAAACAGGTTTTGTGATTTAGCTTTAGTATGAATAAAGTGTAGGAGAGAACAGTTACTGGTATCGTTTTATAAATTAATTATAAGGGCCATGATGCATGATTCAGTAATACCAGTTTTCCTAAATGTCTTTGTGGTGGAACCTACCGCCAATTTAATCTGTTTTTCTTAAATTCGACTGTTTTGCCTTTTTCCATTCAGGAGTTAGGATATATGAACACCCTTCATTTGACTCCCGAATGAGACAACCCCTGTACCTCATTAGAATGTTCACACCAGCAACTTAAGTGCAAAACCGCAAGGGAAGTAATTAATGAATGCTTCCCCTGGGTGGCCGCCATTTCGTATAACCGAATGCATGTGGATCGACAAAGGAGTGACGGACATTTTGTCTCCCGAATGTGGCCAGCGGCACTTGGTCGTCGAGTGCCTGGAACTCTTTTTGGCTAGGCACTCGCGCGAACCCTGGTAAAAATTGGACCGCTGCCCGTTCTACTTCCCAACCACCTATGCGAACGATGGTCGGGAGACGGGAACTACTGAACAGGGGGAGCATTCTGAAATCAAGATAATTCCTTGCATGGTGTTCGCAAAGGAACCCCCAAAGATCGGCCGGGACACCTATTCCCCATGAACTGTTTTGGGCTAGCACCTCATGTCCAGACGGCCAAAACCTTACCTCGGTAGCATACACCAAAACTGCTTCATTAAGCTAAAGTTGTTTCAGAGCTTAGAGTAGCCCTTTAACCCCTTAAGGACTGGACTGTTTTTGCGATGTTGTACATTTGCGACCAGGCATATTTTTACACTTTTGTGGTGTTTGTGTTTGGCTGTAATTTTCCGCTTTCTCATTTACTGCTCCCATACAAATTATATATTGTTTTTTTCAGGACAAAAGGGGCTTTCTTTACATACCATTATTTATATAATCTCATGTATTTTAATTTAAAAAAAATAAAAAAAATGATGAAAAATTGAAAAAAATACATGTTTTTTGACTTTTACTTGAAAAATCTTTTACTCATCTACAAAAGCGAATGAAAAAAACTGCTAAATAGATTCAAAATTTTGTCCTGAGTTTAAAAATACCTAGTGTTTACGTGCTTTTTTGCTTTTTTTTGCATGTTATAGGGCTATAGGTACAAGTAGGATATTGCGGTTTCAAAACATACATTTTTAAAATTTATCAATAGTGACATTGTAACACTATTATCTGTCATAAATCTCTGAATAACACCCCACATGTACATATTTTTTTTAAAGTAGACAACCCAGGGTATTCAATATGGGGTATGTCCAGTCTTTTTTAGTAGCCACTTAGTCGAAAACACTGGCCAAAGTAAGCATTCATATTTGTTTGTGTGTGAAAAAAGTAAAAAAACTAAATTGAATGCTAATTTTGGCCAGTGTTTGTGACTAAGTGGTTACTAAAAAAGACTGGACATACCCCATTTGCAATACCTTGGGTTGTCTTCTTTTGCAAATGGTATGCCATCATGGGGGTAATTCTCATTCCTGGGCTACCATACGCTCTCAAAGGCAACGTAACCAACCTGGCCATTTTCAATGTAAAAATATTTGACCCATATATTTGACCTTGTAACTTTCAAAAATGCTATAAAACCTGTACATGGGGGGTACTGTTTTACTCGGGAGACATCGCTGAACACAAATATTAGTGTTTAAAAACTGGAAAACGTATCACAACAATTATATCATCAGTAAAAGTGCTGTTTGTGTGTGAAAAATGCAAAAAAAGTAACTTTCACTGACAATATCATCGCTGTGATATGTTTTACTGTTTTGAATCACTAATATTTGTGTTCAGCGAAGTTCCTCAAAACAGTAAACCCATGTACAGGTTTTAGGGCAGTGATGGCGAACCTATGGCACGCGTGCCACAGGTGGCACGCCGGGCCCTCTCTGTGGGCACGCGGCCATAGGTTTGCCATCACTGCAGAGTAGGCGCCTGCCTGCCCGAAACGGCAGGCGCCTACTCTGCTTCCGTGTCGGCAGGACCGGAAGCAGGGAGGAGGGATCGAGGAAACAGCTCTCCTGTCCTCCCGCGAGCTGTGTGGATCGTTGCCGCGCGTTACCATGACAACGCTCCACACAGCATCGCGCGGGAGGACGGGAGAGCTGCAGGACTTGTCATCCTGTCCTGCATACCACCACCAGACCACCAGGGATGGCTGTGTCCCCCCCTCCCCTTCATCAAAGGTTAGAAGAAGGGGGGGGGGGTACTGATTTAATAACCTATCCCCCCTACCCCCAGCACCCCTACCCACAGAACCCTTACCCCCAGCACCCCCACTACCCACAGCACCCCTACCCACAGCACCCCTACCCCTCTTACCCACATCACCCCTACCCCCAGCACCCCTACTCCCCCTACCC